ATTCTCAACATCAGCAACTAATTTAAATAACTTAGATGAAAAAAAGTTTAATCTTCTTACCTACTTTAAGTGATTTATATTCTCGGATAAAAGTCCTTCCTCTTCTTTGTTTCTATGCTATCATACTTTGCATCAAATTTATGATCAAATAAAGATAAGACATAAGAGTCTTATCTCAGTATAATATATACCATATTGAAATAAAACGCTTATGGCGTATCTTTACTCGGCTATAAATTTGATGCAAAGTATGATATTATAGAAATGAATAGAGAAAAAGACTTTTATCCGACGGTGTAGTTATATAGAACATAAATATCACCAGTGATAGACCGTATGCTTTAGAAAAAATAGTGCTATTATAGATCGCACCAAAATTTTAGGGTACGGTATCTATATTATATCAAGAACATTCGTCTAGTCAACAATTGTTTTCTTTTTTTGCATGAAAACATTATCCGATTCTTTTCCACTGTATGAACGCAAGATAAGCAAAATAAACACGTTTACTAACGATGTATTGGACAAAAAAGGGTTGAAATTAGGATCTTTCGTTGAGATCAACAAAAACTTTGACTTTTTTAGGGACATAATAGAAGGCTCCCTTGCTTTAGCACATATTATAATGAGACAGATTTTATCAATAATTTCTTATTATTAAATGAGTTGAAGTGTGATCAAACAGCATAAAACGAATAGAATCCTTTTCTTTATCAGACTATATAGTAAGAAAGTTTCTTTAAGCTTTATACAAAGACTGAAAGTAGCACTGTCACCAACTTTGGTATGCTCTAAGTACATCTTTTCTAAGCGAAACCTTTATTTTTTCAAAAAATATAAGATTATAGGAATTTTTTTTAAAAATAGGACATTATAGGACCGATTCCAAAAATATAGGAAATATAGGACGACTACGAAGCCAGGCCGATATCTGATCAGGTCACTAGGCCGAACCCCGTCTACAGAAAATTTTCAAACGCGGACTAGGATTCTATTGGATTCGGAACCAACTTGGTGGGCTACAGCCGCCACCATTGATTAATGCACTGATTTACACGCATGATAGCGTTCTCTACTGTCTAATTTTTTTTCTTTCAGAAAAAAGTATGCGCTATTGCCTTTCTCAAAGTTATAAAATATGATCTTGCCGTCAGTGGTAAGAATGCATAGAAGTTGTCACATTTTTATTAAAATTTTCTACATATTGAAAGAACACAAACAGAAAATTTTTTGTCGGAAAAAGTTTACTTTGCGTAAGCATGCACGGGTTTGAACATTTGGGTACGGGTTGCGGTCAGTTATTTTTCGTTATTTTATAAAGTGTTAGTAAAAAGTCGAAAGAAAGTATTTGAAGCTTGCTTATAAAAGGTCTATGTTCAATAAAAAAATGATCCAAAGCCTGAAGATCTACAGACGTCCTAGAAAAATTTCAATGATGTTCAAAAACAGCCCCACCCTCGCCTCTCACTCACATCCTCACCCGCCGAAATTCAACAACGAACCCAAGTCGGAACCCAAACTTCATAACCGACACGAACCGAAGTTCAGATTTGGAGCATGCCTAACTTTGCGTTTCTTTTTTTCGATGTAATGAGCATAAAAAAGCTAATCCTCTTAGTAATATAAGTTCGTTCGATTTTTCTAGCTTACGTGTAACTTGTAAAAATGATTTTTTCGAATGAAAACAGGTAATTAATATTCAACATTTCTACAGAAGTTGACCTTAGTCTACGTTAATCATGTTTTATCTTGTTCAAGTGGTTATATGCGAACCAAGATTTTATTAAGACTATTGCTTCTCCCGAATCGTTTCCCAGCACGGATGTACTGCGAAACATTTCGATGACTTATATATCCTCACTTTTTGTTTTTTTTTCAAACACTTACAGGCTAAAGCAATCATCTAATTCTTGTTTTACACTGCTCTACCAATACTTAAAGCAGATATGTGCTTATATGGATCACGAATATATGTCAGAGTAGATTTGGTTTTTATTTCTTATTTTATAATGTCATAATTATGAAGACCGACTTTACTGTGATAGTATCTTAACTCAAAAACTAAAATATTCTAACATGTAATTAACTGTTTCTAGATATTTCTTACTTGTTTCAGGTTGCCCACCATCATGATTAAAAACATTATTTCTTGGAGCTACAGCAGTCAAATAATGAAAGCAAATAAGTTGATTAATATTCGCCATTAACAAATGATCGAAAGAACCGATTATGAAAGTGAATTGTCACTCTACAATAAATATTTAGTAATATTTTGGTTTCAAAAATAATTTAATAAAACTATCAAAACGTAAGTGTAATGGTAGTTAGCTGGATTCTGCTAATGACAATGAACGTATTGTTTTATTAATATCATTCACTTAAAATTTTGTCAAAATTCGAACAGTACAAAACAATCTTTTGATGATTATTTTTTTTCTTCTAAATTAATGTCCAAATATAGTCGGACAAATTAATAACTTTCTTTATATTACGTAATTTAGTCCTTACGAATGATTTCTTTCATTGAAAAATTCTTGAGAGACTTGTCGAATCTCATTATTAGGCTATTAGTAGACAATGCAACTAATCTTTCGAGCAGACTTCTGAGTGAAGAAAATCTCAAGTATATAAAAAAACACATACTGTTATTTAGAGTTATGCTTTATCATGAATACTGTTATAAAATTTAGGAATCTTAATTTACTCTGATGATTTAACGAATGCATAAAATTAGTGATTGATCGATTTATTAAAAAGAACTAGCTTTTAAGAACAACTAGTTGGTATAATTGATTATTTTGACTATAATATATTCGCTTATCCTTTCTCTGCACTGCTATTTCTTTTTACTTGAAAAAAAACTAAGGACATGAATAAGAAAGTTATTAAAAGTGTCTAAACCCATGTTCTGAAGTAAAAAATGGCGAAAACCCAATATCATTTTTCGATATGAACTAATTTTATACATTTTTGTGGAACTCACGTATATTTTCGAAGAAAATAGTGAGTGTAAGTTTTAAGTTCGAGGTTTTGCGGCTCCCCCCACCCCCTCCCCTTACAGACAGGCCCCCCTTACAGACCATAGCAACGAAAGAGAACATTACATACATATAGCTCCCCCCCACCCCCACCCCATTATAGACTGCAACAACCGTATTCATCAAATAGTCGATGGTGGAGAAAAATAACTTCAGATTAGAAAACAAAAAAAAAAGATTATTATCGAGTATATAGCAATAATTATAAATGAAATCGAGCGCGCTTAAATGAAAAAAAAATATTTTCTTTTTTAATATATATTTTTAATATACAAATAAATAATACATTCCCGCTCTTTTCATCGATTCTCAAGGAAAACAACTATAGTTGACGAGAAGTCTTTCAGTATACAGATGATGCGTCGGATAATAAAGCGAAAGGTATACGTGAGTTCCACAATTCAGCTCCGCAGGAGCTGCGCTAACAAGCTTTTTATATTCGAAAATTCAAATGACTCATGCTGTCAATTCCAATAAATAATTTTGAAACAAATTAGTTGTCCTCTTTCTACTACACTAATTAAATGTTTTATAGGACAGAAATTTATTCCATCAAAAAAAATTCATTATCTATTTTCTTGTATTTTTATAAAATACTCGTCCATTGTATAATAAAGAATCAAAGGATTAAATATGAAGAGAAACAAACGAATTAATTATGATACAAATAAATTTGAAATCAGTGTTTTAAAATTCTGCCGTCAAACGTTTATTACTTATAGAAACTTATTTAACATCATATATTAGATTTTTAAATTTGAACGAATGAAACAATAGTTTCGAAGCACCGAGTTTTATTTCTGAAAAAAACGACTCGTCCTTAATTTGAGAATTAAATTACATTATTCTAATTTATAATATATAAATTAATTTCACTAATACCAGGAGCATCTGTCGCTTTTCTGGATAGTTGAAAGATAAGTTTTCAAGAACTTAGTGAAGATAACTGATCGACATCAAACTGGACTTTTTCTCGATTTTATCATCCTTTTTAATTGTCTTACGATGTCCGAAACGTGTTATATTCGAAGATTCATAGAAAATATATATTTTAATGCTCTTTATTTTTCTCTTTCAGATTAATGGTTCAGAAAGCTGAAAAAAGTATTGTTCAAACTTAATTCTATCAATTTATACGCCATAATGTATTTATATCAATTTAACACATAATAATATATTGGTTTACCTTGTAATAAAAATTCAACACCAGCAAACTAATCTGAAAAGAAAAATCCAAATCCAAATGGATTATTTTTTTAAATTTACTAACTTACAGAATTTATCTTTAATCACCTTCGATGTTGAAATAAGTTGAACCAATGGGTTCTCTTTATGATCTAAAGTAAAATTAAAATAACTGTACGTTCATTTATCTGTTTTTTCTTTCTTTCTATGCAGGACAATTGGTTCATGTATATGAAAAAAATATGCATGTGGTCAGTAACTCTTCCTATATATATATATGTGTCAAAGAAGAGGAGAAAAAAACGCCAATACGACCAGCTGATTTAGCGAATCATACTGCAGAAAAATGAACGTGTTATAATTATGATGGACTTTATTCATTTCATGACATTTGAACAGCTCAGCAACACGACCTTATCAATATCTTGTTTTATTCAATAAAGTGTGCTCTACAAATTACACATTGATGTTATTCTATTTATAATAAGTGCCTATTATTCCAATCAGCCTACTGAAGATTTCAAAAAAATTCCAACTCAAATTACATTCTATATTTTTTATCTGTGTAGGCAAACCAATATCGTATAGCACATGTGAATGAACAAAACAAGGTATTGACCGTATGTTAGTATCGGATCGCTCGAAGCTAGAAGTGCAACAACAATCTTTTAAAATGGAAATATATCCTTCTTTTGGTAGAAAATTAAATGAATAGAGTTTCATCTAAAAAAAAGTATGATTGATTTTCTTTTTTTTCACACTGGAAAATTAAATATAATGGTTCGATAAGTTCAAATAAAGATACTTCTTCGGTTTACGCATACCATCATTTTCTTCTATCTTCATACAGTATTCTACCTTATATTCCGTTCTTCCTCCTTTTATAACTGTTTTTCTATTGGATAAGTGTTCCTTGTTTTTTTTTTCGAAAAAGCAAGCGCCATGTGCAGTGCAAAAAAAATGTATGTCCTCCGTACGGTTTTAATTAAAATCAACCCTAATATACGGAAAATGTTTAAAATCAATCAGATTATTACATTTTGTCTTATGAAATTTATCTTCAAAATTCAAAAAATTCTTATTCTTTCCGCGCACATACCAATCATAAGTCATTGAAAACATGAAGAGAACTACTAGTAGAATATGAACGAACATTTGGTTATTCAGAATAATAGAAAAACAGGTTAACCAGATCCATGTTTTGGCACAAGTTCATGATAAAGCAATATTTTTGGTATATCTTAGGAGGATCAATTATTCCTTGTTTCTTTTATTAATTCACATATTTCTATTTTTCTCTCATAATTTTATTCTATTTCTTAGGATTATCTCAGATTCTCATTTATAAATCAATTCGAATGACTAATTCAATGGCTTGTGCTATGTTTACACTTGGCCAAAATGCAAATAGACTCTCACTCGTGCTATTTCAATGAAGTCAATATATTCATCAAGTTTCAATGAATATGCATGGGTATCCTCAACTCATTAACTTCCTTGCACAACGACTTGATGATTTTGTGAGAGTCGCAGTAAATCAAGGCCAAGACGTGACTAAATCACTTCGTAAGTGAAATGTTCAACATTCCTAAATAGGTGTTGTCTTCGTTTTTCAGTATTAATCGAAGTAGATAAATGTTGGGTGGCGTGCGCATGTATATATATATATATATATATATCTGTGAAAAAAAAGGAGTGCACATCGATGATAATAATAATTCAAGTCCGTGGTAGCACAGCAAAAGTTTGAGTGGAGTGTTAGCCGTTTAATTTTCTCTTAGCTTTGCAGATATTAATTTAAACAAAGCTCGAAGTTTGCTTACAGAATTCAATCATAAAGAAAGAAATTTGTTTGACTAAATGTAAATATGTAACTTTCAATTATTAAAAAGCTTCTTTTTTCTCTAATCGCTTGACCACTATATAAATGACTTTCTTTGTGTGTAAAGCAGTACTTACTTATCATTTTAGGTGCTATTTTCTAATCGGCTCTAAATGTTTTCCTACTTTTACATGTGAGTAGAATAATCTCTGTTTAATTTAAGATATTTTTTTCTATTGTCTTAAAGGATAATAATGAAGAACCTCAAGAAAAACTGACTGATATGATTATTGATGATACTAATTGCCTTGCTGCTGATCCTACAATGGTGTCAGGTGAATTTAATAGACGTGATATTACTTTGGCTGTTGTTGCTGTTCGGACATCCGTTTGTGAAATTTGGGATATTTACCGTGAATTAGCGAGTAAGGTCGATATGCACAAATAATTCATTATCCCCTGAGATACCCTTATCCAATCTTGTTTTCTAATTTTAGGTGATGAAAATATACTGTTAGCAGGTGCTCCATATGTTTCGTCACGTGTTATTTCATCGGCTGTTACTGGAGAAGACACACTTCGTAAACCGTTTCTTCATATGAATATAGAACATATTTCAACTGTAGCAAATCACCTTGATGACGTAGATGAACAAAGTCAAACAACAAACTAGTGGCGCAACCACACTGGGGCTAGCTGGGGCTTAGCCACACCACCGGGCGTTTTAGCTTCATCACGCTTTTTCTAAAGCTACTGAGCTTTTAAAGTAAAACAAATGAAATTCAGTCAGGATACCTTCATTTGAATCTTTAGTTTTTGAGAATGTCTGTGATTTTAGACGCAACATAATGGAGCACCATCTTTCTATCACTACAACTGTTAGATATCAAAAGCGCTAATCTGTTTTTGCTGTTGTCTATTATGATTAATTTCTAGTGAGAAGAACTAGCGAAAATTAAAATATTCATTAACATATAAATAACATTTATGAAATCCAATTCCTGGAAACAAAAAACAATTTCGTCCTTCTTTTCATCATTTGCAGCAAAAAAACAAAAGACAGATGATCAAACACTGAACGCTTCATCAATATCTGCTGAAACACAAACTGTTCTCTCTGAAACATCAAACCTAGTTTCTACAGTTGGTGCAAGTGGTAGTGGAGGTATTGATTCAATTGTTACGTGTGGTCATGATATATCAAAAATTTCCTCATTATCATCAACATCATTAACATCAATACTTACCTCTTCTTCAATATCTATTAGTACTAGTCATTCATTACCTGATCTATCATCACAACTTGTGTCGGAATTTAATAACAATTACAGCAGCTTTAAATTTCATTATAATTTTCTTTTTATTTAATAAACAAAAGAAAAAAAATATATATAATAAATAAATAAATACAATATTTTAATAATAAATTTTAGTCGACGTTTCGACAGTTAATCTGTCATTTTCAAGACCAGATGTTAAGTGATTCATGACAAAGAAATATAGAAGAAAGAGAAAGTGATCATCTGTAGTATCTCCAATCAGAAATCCTACAGATACCACTACCATGGACGAAAACAGTGTTATGAGCGCTCATAACACTGATTCTCCCCCTATTGGTAGTGCATCTATCGTTGATTTAATCTTGACTTTTGGTTTTTTTGTTAGTCCCTCAGGATATATTATTAGGGGTACTGAACATATTGTTTTATTTAGAGTAGGTTTACTATTACAAATTAACAATGATTCTTTTACTAACAATCGGTAGTGTTTATTATCTTTAGCAATAATATTACAATTTTCCCAATCTATTTTATGATTATTATTAATTTCATGTTGTTTAACTGCTGAATGTGTTAGATTGTTTTGTTCAAAATCAATTGATTCATTTTGTATCTTTGGAAAATATTGTACAGTTTTTCCTTTATTTCTGTCAGATCGTCTAAGATTATTAGAATTATCAACCACATCGAGCGATTGAGATTTATTTTCTTTTTCTTTCAAGAAATTAGCTCCATGTTCTTGAAGTCTTCTATAGGTTTGTCGAATTGTTTTGCCTATATAGGTAGATTCACAATTAGAACAATCTAACTTATAAACGATATTTGATCTGAGTAGTTTAGGTATTGGATCTTTAGTTGGAAAATATTTAGATATAGATGAAGATGGTCGTTGAACTGGTTGAATGTGTAATTGTGCATTTATGGATTTTGCCAAGTTAATTATTCGTTTCCCTAAGATTTCCGTTGGTTTACCAAAAAAGGGAATATCAATGAAGACCTGCTCTCGTTTTATCGAATTATCTTTATCGTTATTTGTTTTATTTTTTGATTTATATATTTGTGTTCCATTGATCTTATCAAAATATCTACCTAGTGTTTTCCTGATCTGTGCTTTTATAAAACCTTCTGGATAACCATTTTCGATACTAATAAATTCTATAAATTCAAATTGTTCATGCATTAAATCATAGGATGAACATATCCTGATTGCTCTATAAACCATGCTGCTTATGGTACTAACTTTATATGTATGAGGAACGAAAGAACTCCATTTGGTTATTAAACCAGTATATGTTGGTTTTCTATATATGGTAGTGGCAAATGATTTAGAAGAAATTTGTGTATTATTATTAGTAGAAATAATAGTTGGCATATTACTTAAATTGTTAATTGAATTACTAGTTGAAGCAACATTTGAAATATTAAATGATTTAGTACTTAGATTATTTATGGAATTATTAAATACTCTATTGTTCGAATTAACAGTTGAACTATTCAATGATTTATTATTGGAACTAATTGTTAAATTATCAGCTGCTTTATTATTTAAATTATTAATGAAGTTTTTTATTGAGTTATTAGATAATTTATTATTTGAGTTATAAAAAGATTTATAATTTAAACTAATAGATGATTTATTATTTGAACTAACCGTTGAATTATTAGATGATTTATTATTTGAACTAAGTGTTGAATTATTAGATGATTTATTATTTGAAATAATTGTTGAATTATTAGGTGATTTATTATTTGAACTAGTTGCTGAGTTATTAGATGATTTATTATTTAGATTATTATTTAGATTATTGGATAAATTATTAGTTGAAATATTATTTGTTGAATTATTAGATAGAATATTATTTAAATTATTTGTTGAATTGTTAGTTGGTAGTCGTGTAATATATATGTCAAGAAAAGGTAATGAGTTATTTACCTCTTCTTCACATGTGAAAACAATACAATTATCAAAACTGTTGAGTATATCAATTATCTTATTTAAATCAGCATCTTTTTTTATAATAGCAAAAGTATCATCAACGAAACGTCTCAAGTACAGCAAGCCATTATTTATTAAACGTGACATTAGTTTATTCTCAAGATAATTGACATATATATCAGCAAACACAGGTCCAAGTGGAGAACCCATTGCAACTCCATTGATTTGTGAATAGATCTTGCTATTAAAGATAAAATTTGTATCTTGTGTTGAGGTGTCTAATAAATATTTCATTTCAAATCTGTTTTTACATTTTTGACACCAATCATCTCGTTTCTTATCACTATATGTACAGGTATGTTCTGGTCCATACAGTTTATCAAGAATTATTTGTATAGTGCGCTGTAATGGAACATTAGTGAATAAGCTGGTGATATCCAAAGACACCATTTTTATCTGAGAGTTATCAAATTCTAATGCAAGTAATTCATCTACGAAAGCAAACGTATTAGTTATGATTGTGTCATTTTTTCTTAAATGGTCTAGTTTATTAGCCAATAGTTTGGCTAGATTGTAATTAAATGTACCTGAAGCTGAAACGATTGGTCGAAGTGGTGCTCCAATTTTATGAACTTTAGGTAAGCCGTATATTCTAGCAGGCTGTGAGCCAGTTGGGCGACAAAAATTATATTCTTTTTCAGTTATAAAACCGTTATTTTTTAATTGTTTTAGTTTACGTATTAATCTATCTTCGTGAGACATGGTTTCATCAAAATTCAAAACTTTAAACGTCTTATGATCACTTAATATTTCAAGCATCTTCTTATTATAATCGTCTTTATCCATAACTACTATTCCCTTTCCTTTATCCGGTCTTGTTATTTGTATTGATTTATCATTAGATAAACTTTTTAAAACCTTATCAAATTGAACAATTTCCTGGGTGGGTGTGGGTGTGGGTGTGGGTGGGGTGTGGGTGTGGG